ACTCTCAGTAATGTCATACATCGTCGTTCAATACAACAGATACTACTACTTGCTCAGAGACAAGATCACGAATCATAAGTTCCTTACCCTCTTTTTTGTATCGTAGTCCCAGTCCGACTTCGCCAACACGTAGCTGAGTTTGGTCAGGGCGGCCTCAGGGGTCATATCCAAGCCAGCGATCACTCCGACGCTAACAAGGGCCTGCGGACGAGAGGCGGACGTGTATTGGCTACGTGTACGCTGATGATTACGTGTATATGCACGCATGCACAAACATGCGTACGGATATTTATACCACACACACACATACGTAGACGGGCACGAACGTATATGTGCAGGCATGCACCAGCGCACGCACGCACACACACACACACACACACACACACACACACACACACACACACACACACACACTGTACAACGTACCCTGCGCACAGAATGAATGAAATACCCACAAAAATGCTTCTTTACTATTCCATAGCTCAGTTTCATTTCAGGCATAAACCCAAATATAGAAGCATGAGAATATATAAACACTCGATAAACATATAGAAGCAGAAAAGATGAAAGTATGTTTAATTGAAAAAAAAAATCTTAAAAGCTGTGCACTTTTCAAAATTCTCATATATTTAAAGAAAAATTCTAACAGATATTCTTAAACTTCAAACAAATTTTCTAAAACTCCTAACAGATTTTCAAAAACTTCTAACGATTTTTTTTTATAAAACTTCTAAAACTTTTAACCCATTTTCTAAAAGTTATGCTATGAAATAGTTTTTTTTTTCTGAAACTTACCTCTCCCGTTTCATAGATTGTGTCAACAGCTCCATGCATACACTGGGTGGTGTTGACGAGAATCACGCCTCGTTTTGTTGCATCCCTCAGTACCTGCAACGTGAAAGCAACATATAAACTCATGCAATGCAACTTTAGAATCAATATGCTATACACTTCTTAGGATATTGAGATTCTGCTGATTATTTTTGCTATATTTGTTGATTCTTCCTTCCTTTCACTCTCTCTCTCGTTCGCGCTCTGTCTCTATCTCTCTTTCACTCTCTCTGCCCGTCTCTCTTTCTCTCTCCCTCTGCTCGTCTCTCTTTCTCTCTCCCTCTGCCCGTCTCTCTTTCTCTCTCTCTCTGCCCGTCTCTCTTTCTCTCTCCCTCTGCCCGTCTCTCTTTCTCTCTCTCTCTGCCCGTCTCTCTTTCTCTCTCTCTCTGCCCGTCTCTCTTTCTCTCTCCCTCTGCCCGTCTCTCTTTCTCTCTCCCTCTGCCCGTCTCTCTTTCTCTCTCTCTCTGCCCGTCTCTCTTTCTCTCTCTCTCTGCCCGTCTCTCTTTCTCTCTCTCTCTGCCCGTCTCTCTTTCTCTCTCTCTCTGTCCGTCTCTCTTTCTCTCTCTCTCTGTCCGTCTCTCTTTCTCTCTCTCTCTCTGCCCGTCTCTCTTTCTCTCTTTCTCTGCCCGTCTCTCTCTCTATCTATCTCTCTTATCTTCCTTTACTACCTCTCCCCCTCTCTGTTTTTCTCTCTCTCTCACCTTCCTTCACTCCCTTAGTCCATCTCTTTCTCTCTCCGTCTGTCCCTCTGTCCCTCTGTCCTTCCACCCCCTTCCTCACCACTCCATCCCCTATCCTCCTTCCTTCCTCCCCACCCACTCCTTACCCCTACCCCTCCCTCCCCCCCCCCCACTCTCGGTCCTTCCCCATCCACCCCCGTCCCATTCCCCTCCTCCTCCTCCTCCTCCTCCTCCTCCAACCCTCTCCTCCTAACCCTTTCTCCACCCTCTCCCTCTTCCTCTCCCCCTCCTTCATTCTCCCCTATCCCAACCTCCTCCATCCTCCCCCCCCACTTTTACCTCCATAATATCTGTCCGGTTCGATGGCATGTTCCCCGCTCCGTAGGTCTGTATTATGGCTCCGGATATCGGCGGCTGGAGGAACTGCTTCACCGTCTCCGCAGAAATGGACGGGAAGATCCGCAGCAACCCGACGTGGCGGTTCAGGCGGTCGAACACGATAAACTTCTCCAAGCGGGTCGGTCGGAAAATCGAACGGTAGTCAACTATCGGGGGAAAGAGGGAGTCAGAGGTGGGGAAAGAGGGGGTGGAAGGGGGGGGGAGAGGGGTGGAAGGTGGGGAAAGAGGGGTGGAAGATGGGGAAAGAGGGGGTGAAAAGTGGAGAAAGAGGGGGTGGAGGGTGGGGAAAGAGGGAGAGAAAGGTGGGGAAAGAGGGAGTGGAAAGTGGGGAAAGAGGGAGAGAAAGGTGGGGAAAGGTGGGGAAAGAGGGGTGGAAGGTGGGGAAAGAGGGGGTGGAAGGGGGGGGAAGAGGGGTGGAAGGTGGGGAAAGAGGTGGGTGGAAGGTGGGGAAAGAGGGGTGGAAGGTGGGGAAAGAGGGAGAGAAAGGTGGGGAAAGAGGGAGTGGAAGGTGGGGAAAGAGGGAGAGAAAGGTGGGGAAAGAGGGGGAGGAAGGTGGGGAAAGAGGGGACGGAAAGTGGGGAAAGAGGGGA